AGAGCAATTTTAGATTTTAGTTATTCGTGATTAAAACAACAAGGTAAAACTCTTAAAGGTTCAACTCAGTTAGGCTAAGCCACACAAGAGACTGAGCTAAATCAAAACACATATGAAAACTAAGACATTGCATGCGAAATAGTTTCCAACTTAACCACGACTTAACAATGAAATCTAATCACAAAGAAGTAACAAGCCTACGATTACTAATGGATGGCGATTAGTGGACACAATTTCTTGCTTGCACAAACTCTCAACAAAGTAGGTAGAATTTGAAAAGTAAGTGAATCAAGGAAGAAGATCACCTTCCCGGAGAGACGTTGTGCAAAACCACATACCGATCTTTGATCCTCTTCGTCAAGCACTATGGGAAGAAGAAATCTCTAGGGATCCGCCAAGGGTTGAGATCAAACCGACGACATAAAGTGGAGAAGATTCATGATGCCTTGGCCGTTGGTTGCGATATCGGAATCATACTTTGAGTAGACCATGAATCACCATCGGGTATAGAGAGAATGCCGAAAGAAAGAGAGGGAGGAAGGTGGCGGTGGGGAAGGTGGAGGCTAGGGTTAGGCAATGGCTAGATGGGATCAAGAAATAACATTATATTTCCATAACAAAATTTATTCTCAGATTTTAAGTGAAAGTGGAGGGAAAAATCTGAGATTTGAAAATTTTAAACCATGGAATTAAGAGCTTTAATGGAGCATTAAAGGAGGGAGAGCCATGTGGGTGGCCGGCGGCATGTTGAGAGGGAGAGGGAGTGGGTTATGTGGAGAAAACAAAACTCTTTCCTATTTGGCTCCTTTAATTTAGGAAAAGAAAAACTCCACCCAAATCAAATTTGAATTATGTCATGAAAGAGGTTTAATACTTTCCTAAAATAGCTCTCCAATTTAGGAAACTTTTGAAATTCAAATTTTGTATTTCAAATGAAGAAAATAATTTCCTAAATAACTTGAACTCATTAGGCGAGCATCAAGGTGACATCAATTCCTCATCCATGGAGGCAACCATGGTGGCCGGCGGTGAGCATGGACTGGGATGTGGGTAGAAAACACATTTAATGGAGAAGATGGCTTGGATTGGTGGGTAGGTTGAAGTGAATTTTGGTGGTAGGGTTATAGGATGGTAAGCGGTGGTGGGAGGGGCCGGCGGTGGAAATGGAGGATAAGGGAAGAAGGAAGAAGGGAAAACCAAGAGCCACCGGCGGTGACTGTTGGGTACGACGAGTGGCCTCTCCTAGGCTCCACCTAGCTCTCAACCTCCCTCTCAAGCTCTCACAAAAAGAAAGCTTCAAGAAGACCAATGCAGGAAAAAAATTGTAATATCATTCATTAACCCTCAAAAGTACAACATGAAGGCTATATATAGCCTCATACAATGACATAAAATAAAAGGACTCAAATGCCCCCAAAGGGCTACAAGACTCACTCCCTCAAGCAAGGGTAAAAAAGGAAAATGCAAAAATAAAAATACATCGAAATAAAAGATAATATTAAAATCAGAAATACAGTGGGTAAATCGTGGCCGTAGATCTACGGCCACGTCGACGGTAGACTTTTCAACTGATGTCCCCATCAGCTACTGCCTTTGAGCATCTAACCTTTAATTCCCGACAACACAATACGCTAGCAGCAATGGAAGCAAAAAAAGCTGCATAACCAAACCCTTTCACGTAGAAAGGGAGAAATGCGAGAGCAAGCAGCTTCATGGTCAAGGTAGGAGTATAAGGACAGATGGACAATGGCCCTATAGCATTGAAGTTTGAAGTTATAGGGACTGAACATTTGATATTTTTATCTTTTATATAAATCTAATAAAAAAAATAAAATGAAAAGAGATCAAATAAATATGAATCAATTTTTCATACAATTTTTCTTAATTCATGTGTCTTGATTTGCATGTCCTCACCTTACACATGGATAAATTTTACAATTTTACTCATGCAGCAGCCCAAGAAATATGTGTCATTTTGAATAATTTCAACATTTCAAATACGTCGGCAAAATCTATTTAGTGAATAGGTGACGTTCAGATCACTTCACACAATGTTGCATATGTAGTTTTGTTGTTTTCATTGTGTTCGATCAAGTTGAATGTGAAATGTTCTTTTTTTGGTACTTTCGATGCTCCAAACGCGTCGGTGCATTCCGTTTTGTGAACGGGTGACTGGTGAGTGATTTCTGATGTAGTCAAGAAGCTTTTCAAACTTGTTTCACACGATGTTGCATTGGTTGGCCAACATTTTTGTCGCACATGCTTGAATCATGAAATAAATATAGAGGTCAACATCTTCTTAATTTGATTCTATCGATTAGAAAATGAAGATGAGTGATACATTTTCACACATGTATTGTGTATTTTTTATGCAGGCAAACTAGAAAGAAAGAGCCAAAAGAGGAGAATACTAGGACTAGTAGAACAAAACTCAATTCAAACTAGAATGCTGACATCCAAACAAACACCAAAACAAACAAAAGCCAAACAAACGAAACAAAATTAAAATTAAAAAACACTACCCTCAGAAAAACCGGCAAGCGGTTTCCTCACATGCAACGAAAAAGTAGGCAAAGTAAATAAAATAAGTGCTTAAGGGCTTGCAAACCAAGGGTCCAACATAGCTACAAGGTCCAACGTCCAACAAAACTCCTCCGGCAAATGTCACCAAATCAGCCAACAAACACCTCCAATAGCTCAAGAAGAAGGATACAAGTGGAGTGGAACTTGCGGAGAGAAGAAGAGGTTTGAAGCCCAAGACGAAATAGAGAGGAGGAAGAGAGAAATGGAACAAGCTCTCAAGCTTTTCCAAGGAAGAAGAAACCCTCAGGTTTTGTAGAGACTTTGCTCAAATATTCAACAACCTTTTTATGTCTCAAAACATCTACAATTTATATGAGAAAAGGGGTCAGCCAAATAGCCATTCAACCTCCAACCGAACCAATCAAGTAAGGGGAGCTAGAAGGCCAAAAATCATTCCAGAATAGCACCTGAAAAAATCACACAGAAAGCCGGGTAAAGCAGCCACGGGACACGCAGCCAGGGGAGAAACCGATGGGGCAGTATAGGGAATCGGAACCAACAGCCAGGGGAGTCAGAACCAGCCAGGGGAACTGGAACAGGAAACCAGGCAAGGAAAACCGAAGAGACAGAGAATAGAAAAAGACAAGATTCCACTCCACATAATGAGCTAACAAGTGGAATAACTTTACGTAATAATGAGCTATTTAACATCAGCTCAAGCATTTATGAGCTAGAACCAAGCAACTCCCAAAAAACACAGCTCAAAACCAAGCCAAGCCCAACCCGAGAGGCAACCAGTAGCCCAAAGACCAAAAAAACCAAGTAGCTAGCACACCCAAGGTTTTTCATGCCCAAGCACTACCTACTCATGATCATTGGATGTTTTCCATCATAGGATAGCATAAAAAAATTCAAAAAAACTATAGCATTCAAATTACAATAAAAGAAAACAAAAAAAAACTAAAATTTGCATGCATCAATTTTAAACTTTTTGAACACATCTTTCTAATGCGTTTCTATAGGTTTAGAAAATATAGATGAGTGAAACACTTGTAAGTCATGTTTGAGAATCGGAAAAATTGATATGCTATTAGCAAGTTCATATATCTCTTCCAACTTTCACATCCAGAGCTGCAGAGGTACACACGGGCATCAAGATCCATGATGAGTTACAAGGATTTTGCTGTTCTTGGCGTCTCTGATTTTTACACAAATATTTTGGTGTTAGAAAAGAAACCATTTGTAAGGGTTCAATCTAAATTTTTATCAAGCTTTACCACTCTGCATTCTGATGACATGTCACAACGCAAGTAAACCTTAGATTTGTATCTCTCAATTGAATGTAATGAATTAGATATCATCAAAGTTCAAAACCCAATACTTAGAAACACCAGGAGATATTATCCTTCCAAAGATTATGTGCTCGTTTATCCACTCTTCTTGTAGTCCAGTTGTCAAACACTCATACGTACTGGCATATTGACTAGTTAGGAAGGAAGATGAGAAAGAAAGAGGTCCATAACATGCAATTGCCTGAGAGAACTTTTCGTTCAAACTTCTTCGCGAATCATTAGTTTTCATATGTGGATGTGCAATGAAGATGGCAGATTTCTGTAAAAAATTAGAAGGAAGCAAGGGCGATCTGTTACCATCTATCAGCATTGAATAAGCAAGTATCCTTGGATACTAATGCGCCTCATCCTACCAATCAAGAGCTTCGGTTTCATGCATCCCATCTACTGAATAATACATAGCAGAATCAGAAAAGTGATTATGGCTAGAGATAAGATGCAAATGGTATTGCTTGCCCAGCTTATATTAGAAAGTTTGTGGTTATTCTACTGCACTGCTTGCAATTCTGCAGAGGGCCTCAGGGGATCCGTATAAACTGTATCATCCTAGGTTAGCATATGCCACTGCTTAGCTGTAGATCTTGCACTTCATCAGGACAGCTGATCTAACATTTTCATGCTAAGTTAATTGTAGGAAATGGTAAAGAAATCATCAAAAACTCATCAGATCAAGAAGAAAAATTTCAAGTATAGAAGTTTTGAACACCAACCCTACGGAGTGGGATAAATACTTGATATTGTTATTGTTATTGCAGAAGTTTTGAATGTATACAACATAAAGACTAGCTGTACTAAGACTTCCACAAACAGAAAGATTCTGATATTAGGTAATTAATTAGCACAAAATATGAAGCAATTCAATAAAAAAACAGCTGTGTATGACTGAAGGGCACTACAATCAACTATGTAAAAATGATAGGTTATTTGCGGTACTTTAAAGCCCATAGCCTGATGAAGGCATTTCCAACCAAATTAACAAGAAAACAACTTTTTTGCAATCATTTTCAATAATATATTTAGCATGCATTAGGCAGCATAATATATCAAAATAATGACGATAGTAGTTCCATAATTTAATATCATTGGAACTGTATTAAAACCTGCAATGCTATGCTATGTGCTTACAACTTCTATTAGGCTTGACCCTTCCCTTAAGCCAAGACGGTCCATTTCTCTAGTCTTTCTGGCAAATGACAGCGTATTTGCATCAATATTTGGCCTTTCATCTGTAATAAGACCCTGAACTTGCAGATAGGGGAAAACATCATTTCATTCACTTTAACGAGAAAGCTACAGTCTATATTAATCTGCACGTGAAAACTACAACTTCAATACAGAAAACTAAGAATTAATGCGTACTTAACATCCACATAAGTTTTCAAAAAGGATATAATCAGGTAAACAACTAATGAAGGCACAATGTGTCATATACTCAACTAACCTCAGCATCAACAACCCAGAACTGCCTACCAGCACTTTCAAAAGCAGAATCGTTATTGCCCAACATTCTTGCCATCGTTTTTCTTGCAGCATTAACGACGCCTATCCCAGCGCTGTAGGAAAAAGGGTAGTTCATAAGTGCAAGCAAATAAAATAGCAACAAACTATGATCCAAAAAGTTGGCACAACAAATGTTCCAAATTTCTCTGCAACACAAGCTTGAGAAAATAATTAGTAATAATCAAGTTTAATTACTAAAGAACCTAACATATTCAATTGTTAATTGTTACTGGAAAAAGAGATTTGATGGCCTCAAGCCTGTGAGAAAACGTATAAGATTGATGTTAAATTGACAGTCACCGGTTAAATTGACAAAGGATAGGATGTCTCATGTTATGCATCACAATTTAGGGTTGGTTAAGACCCCAGTAGCATGGCATACCACAACATAAGTAAATTATGATGAAAAGTGACTAAGGTTAACTAAACTTCAAACTAAGTCGACATTTGATGTTCAAAACTTTGGCAGCTAAAATGAGAAGGCTAGAGAATTACTTGTCGCACCAACAGGTACAAGGATAAACAACACACGTTTGTAACAAACAAAATCACAAGGGAAAATTCTTTAAAAACATTGAAAAGGATAATAAGCTACTGAAATTTAAGAATATTGATAATAGAAATGCAGTCATAGATAAAGAGTTGAAAGATAAATTTGTTGAAATAAATAAGGTTCAAAATAAGATGATTGTTAATAAGTTAGCAGTTATAGAAGATAATATCAATCTAGTTGGTGCTTATGCTCCTCAAATTGAATTAGAAGAAAGTTCAAAAGATAACTTTGGGGAAGAAAGAGATGAATTACTACAACATATAATGAAAGCAAAGATAATTATTGGAGATAATTTAAATGGACATATATATTCTAATAAAACGGCCCAAAAAGAGGATTCATGTTGAATATGGAATGAAAGAAGAAATTATTCTATATTTTTTCTAATAAAGTGGGCCAAAAGAGGATTCATGTTGAATATGTAATGATAGGGGAAGCTATTCCATATTTTGAAAAAGCATGTAATATTGTAAAAGAAAAACAACTGTTTTTATTAAAAAAGAGGAGAATCTAGTTACTTCAAAAAATGAGCTACAAATCAAAGTGACTAAGGAAGAAAAGTTTTGCTGCAAAAATGTTGAGGTGATAAGTTTGATAGTATAACATAGACTTATAGATATGATTGTATATCTTGCAAGAATTAAGTAAGCAATCAGCATCAATAATTATATTAAGATAAGATGATAGAGTTTAAGAGATGAGAGGCTCAAATCATCTAAATATAGGTAGTAAAGGGAAGCAAATCGGAACTTTAAATTGAAAAGAAAAATTGATGTAAGATAAAATTCGTTTGATTAAAAAGGTTACCAAAGGAGATTTAAAAGTCTAGAAATTAGCCTTACATTAGTTAGGAGTGCACATGATTATTAAGAAAAGAAAACCTTTTTAAAAATGGTAAAAACTACTCTTTTAAAAACAAAGTACAATATTGGGTGGGTTGTCATAATAATAAGAGATAAAATTTTGAATCAACCTATATAGTTATAAGAGATGGTAATAGAGCATAAGCATAAAGCAATCACTTCAATATCAAATAATCAATCGGATTCTATGCAACCAAGATTTACAAAGATATACTCTAGGGTTGACTTTTGAACAATGTAAAATATAGCAAGCAACTTAATAATTAAAAATAACAATAATTAAATAAAATCAAAAGAAATAAATAATAAATTAAAAAATTAAATGATATTAATAATTAAGTATAATGTCCTTAAATATACCTCAAATTTTAATTAAGATCATGTAAAACAAAATTTGTTTAAAAAATTAATTTTAATACAATAAAAAGATGAAATTTTGATATGAAAACACCTGTTAATACAAGTGTCTTGCTTAAGGCACCGAATAGCCAAGTAAACTCAGCTAGAGTAAACAGGGCTGAGTAAAAAAAAGAAAGAGATCAAGAGTGAGAGTCTGGGAGAGTAAGAGAGAGAGAGAGATCGAAAGAGAGAGCTAGTGAAAGGGGGGAACAAGTAGGATTTTTATTCCTTCTCCTTCATCAAGCTAAGAAGAAAGATAGCTTTCATTTTTCAATTTGCAAACCTTAGATTAGTTTATGCTCAAAGACAATTTTGTTATCAGGATTTCTGTAAGGAAGAGTAAAACCAAAGAAGATAGTTTGGTGTTATTGCTAAAGAAGAATAGGAAAAAGAGGAACATTGTCTTATGTATATAAATTTAAAAAAAAAAACTTGGGAATTTTTTTTATGAAATCTGATATTTTAAAGTAGGCTTAATCAAGGATGATTGATATTTTTGAGCATGAGCATGATTAATTTCCTTAATAAAAGAGAAATATGAAATTATTTTTAATAAATTCAGAAGAAAAAAAAAGTTAACTAGAAAATTGTGAGAAAATATTAAAAAAAGTTTGAGCCTTATGTCCTTAAGTTATTAAAAAAAATTAGGCATAATAAGTTTTGTTGTTAATTCGGTAACAAGAATGACATCAAGCATTTATCCTACTATGTGGGGGTGGCTACATGAATCATTTTTATCCATTATGTCCTATTAAGAGTCAAATTCTCATTTAAATCTAATAAAGAAATGTCATTTCTAATATTTTCTAACCAAGCCTTTTTAGGTCTACCTCTACATTTTCTAACATAAGTCAAATCTAATACGTTTACTCTCCTATCTGGGTCATCAGAAGAGTGATGTTTTATGTGACCAAACCATCTAAGGTGACTCTCAAATCTTGTCTTCCACTAGAGCTACTCCAATATTTTCATGTAAATGCTTGTTTCGATCCTGTCTCTAAGAGTAGATCCACTCATCTCATCCTCATCTCTGCAACACTTAACTTAACATTATGCTTCCTTTTTAATGGCAAACATTTTGTGCCATAAAGCATTGCAGGTCTCACCACGATCATATAGAATTTTCCCTTAAATTAGAGGGAGACTTTTGTAAGGTTCTGTAGTTTCAATGAAACCTATACTTGTTCATTACTGATTTTGGAGGTTAGATTAGTGAATTATGAAGGTTATGGTAATGAAAGCTCTAATAAACCATATGCATTTTTTTTCTGCAAATTGATGTTAGTTTGTTGAGTACTTCAATAATCAGCAAAACATGCATTTATCAAGTAAACTATAGAATATTGCTTTTTTTCGCGATCCTTTCTACTACATACATTTTTTTTTATAAACAAATTGTAAATAACCTTTCCAATGGTCGCAGAGAAGCTCCATGTATTAAATATATTACTACTAAAATAACACTTCATATATTCGATTTTAGATATGTTAAATTCAGAGAATTAGAGAGAAAAAAGGCTAGATTTTATTGCACAAAATTATCCCTATTTATAAATCTATGCAAGATATTTTAATAAAGAAACAAATAATTACAAAATCATGCATAATTGCTCTAATATAATCATTCCTAAATCAGCCAACTAAATATGGAAGGAGATTGGTGTGATCCAGGTGAGCCTCCCACGAATTCCCTTCTTAGTTGTGGTATCAAAATGTCAAGGTACTGCTAGGATTTAACAGGTGAGCCTCCCACAAATTCTCATCCTAGCCATGGGATCAAAATGCCAAGGGATGGCTATGATTTAACACTCCCCCTCAAGCAGGTGAATACAGATCTGTCATTCCCAGCTTGGTAATTAATCCGAGAAAGATAGAGTTATCGAGTGCCCTGGTAAGAATATCTGCAAATTAATCTTTTGATGAAACATGATCGATACATATAAGACCGCTGTCTAATTTCTTCTTTATGAAATGCCTGTCAGCTTCTATGTGCATGGTCTTATCATGTTGAACCAGATTATGAGCTATGTTGATTGTTGATTTATTGTCACAGTGTATCTTCATGGGTCCTTCCCACTTAATCCTTAGGTCTTCTAGAATCATCTTGATCTATAGTAGCTTACATATTCCTAAGGTCATAGCTCTATATTCTGCATCTGCACTAGACCTTGCCACCACATTCTATTTCTTTCTCCTCCATGTAACAAGGTTTCCTCCAAGGAATGTGTAGTATCCTGAGATAGATCATCTAGCTACTTGTGAACATACATAATCTGCATTAGTATATGCATATGGGATTATTCCACAGTCTCTTCAAAAAAGAATTCCTTTACCTGAGTTTCCTTTAAGATAGTGTAGTATTCTGTCTACAGCTTGTATATGAATCTTCTTTGGATTTTGCATGAATTGGATGACCATGCTTACAACAAACGTTATGTATGGTCTGGTGTGAGAAAGGTAGATTAATTTCTCCGCAAGTCACTGGTATGATCCTTTACCTACATTTGGATCTTCTTTAGCTTCCCCCAATTTGAGATTTGGTTTTACTGGTGTTGGTGCTGGTTTACAAGCTAGTTTGCATGTTTCTTTAAGAATATCATTAATGCATTTTTGTTGGAAAATGAATATTCCTTAGCTGGAGTGAGCCATTCAATTCCAAGAAAATATTTTGATCTATCAAGATCTTTGATCTCAAATTCCTTGGCAAGTATTTCTTTAAAATCACTTTTTTTTCCTTTTCATCATTCCCAGTCAAGATTATATCATCTACATAAACTAATATAATTGTGACTTCCCCTGAGTTCGAGTGCTTGAAAAAAATGTATGGTCCCCTTCACTCTATTGATAACCATTAAGTAACTTTTGAGAATCTTCTAAACCAAACTCTAGTTGATTGCTTAAGCCCATATAGAGCCTCTTTTAACCTACACACTTTGTTACCCCTAGATTTCTCCTTGACTCATAGTGGAACTCCATAAATATTTCTTCCTCCAAGTCCCCATGTAGGAATGCATTTTTGACATCTAACTATTCCAGATGCCAATTGTAATTAAATGCTTGTGAGAGTAGGATCCTTACGGTGTTCATCTTGGCCACCAGTGCAAAAATTTTCTACTACTCAATTCCATATGTTTGAGTGCACCCTTTCGCCACCAATTTTTCCTAATACATTTTCAATGTACAATTAGCTTTGTATTTCACAGAGAACACCCATTTGCATTCGGCAGATTTTTTTTTC